TTGGCCAGGCTGGTCTTGAACTCCCGACCTCAAGGGATCCTTCCGCCTCGGCTTCCCAAAGTGCTGGGATTATAGGTGTGAGCCACTGCGTCCAACCCCTATGTTGGTTTTAGAAAGCCACAGAAAGCACATGAATATGAGTGTGAGTGTGGTGCCTCAAGTATGTTATCACTAACGTAAAACTTAGACATCAGCCAACTCTGAGGGTTAAATGTTCCTGTAGAAGATGCACACAGATTATGAGACCATCATTCTCAGCAAACTGACACAGGAACAAAAAACCAAACACCGAATGTTCTCACTCATGAGTGGGAGTTGAACAATGAGAACACCTGGACACAGGGAGGGGAACATCACATACTGGGGTCTGTAGGTGGATGGGGAACTAGGGAAGGGATAGCGTTAGGAGAAATATCTAATGCAGATGATGGGTTGATGGGTGCAGTAAACCACCATGGCACATGTATACCTATGTAACAAACCTGCACATTCTGCACATGTATCCCAGAACTTAAAGTATAATAATAAAAAAAAAGAGTTGATGTGAAACATGGGTAAAAATAGCAAGATACTGTCTTTAATACAAAGAAAAGGATATAATAATAACTCATTTTGATAATCAAAAAAAAAAAACCAAACAAACAAAAAAGAAGATGCACACAGCCCTAAATATCTACATTCAATTTTAACCAAGCCATTGACTCCCTTCCTCACCTAGTGAACTCAGCACAGTAAAAGATGGAACACTACATGGTTAAGCTTTCAAACTCCAAAATATGGCTGGAGACAGGCCCCTCAGAAAGTCATAGGAGAGGCAGTGATGGCTACGAAGCCTTTTCTTCTCATGCACGAAGACAGTGAAAAGTTAAAAAAAAAAAGTTATACAGCTGCACTTAGCTCTGTTCTCACGGGTCATTATTAGCATGTTCTCATTTAGAATATATAGAGTGTCTTGAGGTCCAGGAACATCCAATCTTATATTACCCTCTACCACACGCCTGCAGTCAGACAGAATTGCTGTTTCACGGACAGAAAAATTAGAGCCAAAGAAAATCAAGATGATCCCTAAATAACAATGTCAGCAAAAGAACCCAGAATGAACCAAATTTTCTGCCTGTAGGAAGAAAATAAATATCCTCAGTTTCTACAATTACCACACACACCAAAAAAATTGTTTTACATAATAAATTACCAAAGAAGCCACATCGAACTTCTTCCATTTTCTATTTTTTCATAATTTAGAGGAGTCAATCCGGATGAAGACAAGATCACCTACCCTCGTGGAATTACGTGGATCGCAACAAAAACATCACATTTTGGCCAAACATGAGTATGATGGGCCTATGCTTCTCTCCTGCTAAAGCATAGCACTGGTGGGCTCCATGGGGCTTTCTACGAACAGCCAGCCACAATACCGGCCCCTCTTCTCCTTTAAATATGAAAAATGTTCATATTAAAGAAAAATGCACCCTGAAAATTATCTCTTAATGTTGGTGACCAGAAGAAAGGAGAAGAGAATGCTGTTTATGACAGCAAATTTCTAATCAACATGGTTGCCTCCGTGCCCAAGAGCCCTGCCCACAGGCCTAGGTGTCATTTAAACACTCATGTATCAATGGACTGTCTGTTTCTCTTTGAAAAAGAGCAAACTGATAAGACAAAAATCAATGGATCAACATCAACGAGTAGCCTCTGAGGAGCAATCTATACCACAGAAACCAGAGCAAGATCAACTGGGAGGCGCGATAGTGAACAGGAGAATGGCTGAGATCTCAATCAAGACAGTCTAAGAACAAATAAACTAACAATTCCCCTGAACCAAGTTTTAAACAGAAGCTACTTAAACACTGGAACAACCTAAGACAAGCAGAGAATCCTACAATAAAGGTTTTCATTTCAGTGCACAGGGTGATTAAAGTAACATTTACTTTCTAGCAGCCATGTCTGCACGAAGTTTCCCGTAAGGATGATCATGGTTGTTTACCAGAATCACAAGCCAGAGCAGGGGTTGCAGGCAGACTGCCCACACAAAAGGAATCCTAGGAACACATGTATGCCAAGCATTCTGGGGGTTCAAATGAGTGAAAAACGGTTTCAAAGGGCTTTTCCTTGGCACGTGATCATTCGGTCAGTAAACATCTGTGGGCACTTACTGTGAAGGAGAAATGCACCATGATCTATGCTGTCCTGGGCAGTGTATGCCCAAGAACCCACAGGTGAGGGGTGGAGGGTAGATGATAACCCAATTGCTCATTAAAATTAGAATTATGATGGGAAAACAGCCAGTATTATGAAACTAGAGAGCCAGGATAACATCAAAACAGGCCACTCTCTTTTCTCTAGGATGCTTACAGAACTAATTTTAATTCTCCCTTTACTCCTGTGTGACACTGAGCTGTGCGGTCACCTTGCATTTGAAGGGATGGATGATGGAACAAGAAGACCTGAGGTTCATCTAAAAGCAAAGAGCAAGTAAATAGCAGAAGACATGGTTGAAAAATCACATCTCATAGAACTCTAGTTGCTTATTAAGACAGATGCAAACTGGGGTTCAGAACGCACAGCACACTAATACGTAATAAGTTTTTTTTGTTGTTTTTTGTAGTTGTTTTGAGACAGAGTCTTGCTCTGTCACCAGGCTGGAGTGCAACAGCGCAATCTCGGCTCACTGCAAGCTCCGACTCCCTGGTTCAATGATTCTCCTGCCTCAGCCTCCAAAGTAGCTGCGACTACAGGCGCCAGCCACCACACTCAGCTAATTTTTGTATTTTTAGTAGAGATAGGGTTTCACCATTTAGCCGGGATGGTCTCCATCTCCCGACCTTGTGATTCGCCTGCCTCAGCCTCCTAAAGTGCTAGGATTACAGGTGGGAGGTGGGAGCCACCATGACTGGCAAAGTAAGTTTTTTTGTTTTTGTTTTTGTTTTTTTAAAAAAAGAAAGAAATGAAGGTTACAGCCTGAACAGATTCGTCATTTTTTTCAAATTTCAAAAACCTCCAAAGGAAAGTACGGGTTACACAGTGGGAACCACAGATGGTTCAGTTTGGCTGGAGGTTAGAATGTAAGACTGGAAGTTGAAATAGTGCCATAAATTTAAGGCTAAGGATCTTGGTCTTTATTACACAGGAACTATTTTTTAAATTCCTATTTTTTCATTTATTTGCTCTTCTGGTTGTTTTTGTTTAATTTTGGAAACCACTTTTGAGCAATTAAGTGATGTGACCAGAAAGTTAATCTTGTAGAAATGCCTAAGAAAGAACAGAAAGGAAGAATGGAACAGTCAGAAATTTATTTCAATTGTCCAGTTAAAAATAGTGGAGAAAAAGGTTTCAACCAAAATTGCAGAGGGAATCGTAGAGAAGATGTGGAGAGCGGTTAGATGGGGAAGACAGGGTAGGGAAGAGGGCTCACATATAGTCCCAGGGTTCTGAGGCTGGGGGGCTTGGAAAGAAATACAGAGCACAGGAAGGTTAGGCTTGGGAGAGAAGGTGGGCCCTGTGGAGTCACCGCAATAGGGAGGCTAGCAGGCCACTCAGCAAGGAGCTGGAGTGTGAGGCCAAAGCTGCAGAGAGAAAGGGGCCTGGAAAACACCTCTCAGGGACCAGCTAACAGGATAGGATCACATGACACTTCCAGCAAAAGAAGTGTAGACCCAAAAATAAGAAAAAGTCCTTTGAGGACATGTACTATATAAGCTAATGGCGTTTTCAACTCTGGCTGGCATTTTAAATACTTGATCAAAAGACCCCATGCTAGACTCCAACACTCCTGGGAATCTCCCCAGGCATCTCCTCCAGACTTCTGATAGGAGTCCTCAAACTCCAGTGGCCTCAAACGAAAGCTTTAGGTTTTCTGTCCTTCCCCTTCAGATATTCCACTCTGATGGACCATCTGCTCAGCGCTCCCTGTCCCCTCAGAGACCAACTGGGCTCATATCTCCAAAGTCAACACATCAGTCCTCCCCAACCACAGTCCAGAAACCAGCCCACCCCACACAATTCTTCTGGTCCAGGAGAGAAGCTCAGATACCTTCACAGAGTGGGACATTTCTTAAAACCCACTTGAAAATCCATTTAAAACAATTCTAAAGCATCAGCTAATGCATTTTCTACAGAATATTTTAGAAAAGGCAATATCTGGAATTTAACATTCAGTTATGTATACCTTGGCAAGATGAGATAAAATCCCTAAAACACATTTCTTTCCCATTTTTATTTACAGCACAGACAACACAGATTCATGTCAGCTTTCTCTGTAACTGCAAATGGGGGAAAAGAACCTCCTTTTTAAAATATGTTACTATATACATATTTTTAATTACAAATATCTAATATAATTTAAAAACCAAACTAAACCAAACCAAAGGTTAAATTGTACTAGGTTTCAACCACGATGAAATCTGTAATTACAAATAAGTAAGTTTCTGGAAAAATACATAAATACATACATACATACATACATACATACATGCCATTTTAAAAATCTAAAACCTAGAATGGAAAATTTTTCAGCTAATCATTACCATAATTTAGTTAACATAAGGTAAACTAAAAAAGGGACCATAGGTCTTTTATGAGGAAAGAATGCTATCTCACAGCTACTCAAACCATGAAAACTTGTGCTTTTTATCTTCATCGTTACAAACTGTATCTAAAAAGTGATCATGCCTCTTCTGTAAAACCCAAAGGAAAGACGTTCAAGGATATTTTACCTCTCCGGTATTTAAACCTCATCACATCCCCTCCTTTCTGACCTTCTTTAAGCAAAGCTGATAAAGGGAAAAATGAAATCATTTGAGATTCAAATTGTTTCCACACCCAAATGTACAACAACTAGCTGAGATAACCAAAAGGCAAATGCAGTTATCTGAGTAATCACTAATGAGATAGCCTCTGAATAGCATATCCTGCATATGTGGAAATCTTTTTCCAATTTTTCTACGGGTTTCATTTCCCTGGGGACTGGTTCCCACAGGGTCATGAAGGCTAATGGCACTTACCTTTTTGGCTCTTTGGGCTATGTCTGGTGTTCTTGTAAGCAGCTTCTCAATCAGGTACTCTCTGTTCTGCAAAACAAATATTCCCAACAGTTTAACATCAAATACGATACATATAAATTCACAGTGATTTCAAAATAGCTTTACTTGGGTTTTTAAGCATGTTACCTTGGCCTTCTGGAAGAATTTGCATTTTAAAAGTTCTGCTGCTGTGGGCCTGAAAGATCAATAATAAATTAGAGTTGAAACAATGACCACTTAATAAATGCACTGCCTTGATGAAACAATTTAACCTTAAGAGTATTTCTGGAAGACCAATTTCAGGAATAGCAAAACTCGGAACCAAATTCATCATAGGCTGGCACCAAATTAAATTGTGCCAATTTTCTAGTTCTTTCCAAATACCTCTACTGCCAAACAGATAAACTTCTGTATGTAAAGTGCTTGGGGCAGAATCAATTTTCCATCCTTCATCCTTACACTTAACTAAGTGAATTCAGTGTTTCTAAAAGGTGGCAGACTGACACATCTGTGAGCTAAATTTCTATATTTATTAAGAAACCACACAAGCTACTATATGACCCTGTCAAAGAAAGCATACTCTACTGTGCTCTGTGCTTCCCCAAGAGCAGCAGGTACTGCAAGCGGTTCACACATCGTGTCCACGCTCTGTTTGCCTGCTCAATAAACCTGTCTCAAGTGCGTATGGACTGCTGTTTGCCAGGTGAAGGTAAATGTGATCGTGATTAATAAAATGCAAATTCATTTAGAAGCATTACTAGATGGTGTGATTATTTCCTCATGGTGTCATTCAACTTGCTTCTCTAGCCCGTATTTCCTGTAAACTCTAAGTTAGGTCTGAAGGCTTGAAGAGATTTAATTAAGCATTTGGGGCAAGAATACTTCACAGATGATGGCACACACTTCTTACAGCAGCACCTCAGAGGCAGGTCCTGTTAGGTCACTCCACTGTTAGTGATGCTAAATTTAACCATCAGTCCCCCCAGGCACCTACTCTCTCCATTGCAAAGGTCATGTTTTCCCCCACTGCAATTAGCAAGTGTTCTGTTGGGTAATACTTTGACATTTTATGAATATCCTGTTCCTGAAAACCTTTCTGCTAATTGTGTTCATATCTTTGCCTTCAATAATTATTTCATAGGAAGTAGCAGAATACTGAGTTCCTACTTCTATCTTCCTTGTATACTGACTGACATTCTTACACAAAGAATAGCTTCCTTCATCAATAGTTCCTTCCAAAAACGCAGCCATGAGAAAGAATCAAATAACCAGAGAGTAGAGTGCTGAGCAAGACGACTGGTCTGATTTCTTTCAGGGAGATTGAAGGAACTGTTCTAGATTCAACAGACTTTACAAAACATTAAAACCGAATGCAACACACAGCCCTGGACTGGATTCTAGGCTTGAGAAAGAAGATGCAGAAGCTACAAAGGACATTTGGGAATAATTAGAGATGTGTGAATATGCTAAATATTAGATAATTTTAGGAACGTACTCTTCATTTCCTTAGGTGTGGAAAAGTACTGTGGTTGTGTAGGAACATGTCCTTGTTTATAAGAAATCCAAGCTAAAGTATTAAGTCTCTTACTTTCAGAGTTCAGCAAATAAAACATAAATATCACAATTATAGAAAATGTTAATAATTGTTTAATCTAGGTGACGGTATAGAAGTAAACAATGCACTACTTTTTCATCTTTTCCATATGTTTTAAGTGTTTCATAATAAGATAATGGGAGAGAAAAGAGGAGGGATGCATTATTGAATATCATTAGGTATTATCTTAGGCAACAATTACCAAATACATAAATAATATTGTAGCAGGGGGTGGGGTGGGGCAAGTTTAAAAGGAATCCTCAAGCTTGAAACAACTGGAAACTGCTTTGAAATCAGGAAGCTCCACTAAAATATTCCCAGGGATCAAACCCAAGCATAGAAAGAATTAGAAAACGTCATCAAGTGCATCAGTACACAAACTGTGTAAGTCTATAGGGGCCCCAGAAACTATTTCTGTGCAAAGAAATTTTCTGTTTAAATCATTACTGCTTTTTTCCTCAGATTTCAAGTGGAGCACTGGTTGCAGGTGGGAACCTGACAAAGAACCCTGGATCTCCATATCTACCAGCTAATTGCTTTGAGTAACTAAGGGTCTAAACAACAGGTAGGCCATGAATCTGCACCTGTTATAAACAGGTCTTAGAACTAAACACTATAGCATAACTCTTTCACATGATTCAACTTTGGTTGTTATTTTAATGTATACTTTTCCTGGTCACCAGCAGATGTTTTTGCCTCTAGCTACTCCAAATTCATCCTTTCATTCTCTCAGTACATATTTACTAAGCACCCACAGTTTGTCAGACATTATGCTAGGTGGTAGGTATACTATAGTGGGAATGGCAGACATAAATAATACCTCCAACAAGTCACAATCTAGCAGGTAAGAGCAGAGTGTGCTGCTCGATGGCAAGAGGGGCAGCAGCACATTCAAACACCTTGGAGGAAGGAGAAGGGCTCCTGAGGGAACATGTAGTAGAACCACTTTACAGTGGACTCCGAAATGGACCAAAATATCATGTTTGGGAACCTCACAACATGAAACAACATTTTAAAAACTAAGAAGCATACAAAATAACTTGGATTTAATTTTTTAAATGTGAAAAGAACCCTATGAAAATCACAATGATGAAAAAAACTCAAGGCCACTGTTCTGTTCAAAGGCCTCATCACCTCTGGCTAATATAGTTAAATAAAACAGCGCCCCCAGCTAGTGGCTCACTACTTCTCCCTTGCTACTTCCAACCCATCATCCATCATCCCCACTGCTTCCCAAATTAGCATCTTAAAAAAAAAAAAAATCTGATCCTCTTTTACCTATCCTGATGCATTTCAGTGGCCTGAGACAGAAGCAAGTCTTCTAGGGCCTGACTTCTCCATCCTCATCGCCCCACAACCCCAAGAGATGCCACCCTTCAACTGCAACGATGTTCTCACTCATCTCTTGCTCTTTCATGACAAAGCACACACTGCTTTTCTTGCTTCCAAATTTTTCATAACCAACTGGCACACCCTCGCTCATCAGTCAAGAGCCAATTTAAATGTCATCTTCAAAGATACCTCTCCTAGCTCCTGCAAGCAGAAGGCACTGCTCCCTAACTGGCACTCATGCTCCATGCTACCCACATTCCCATCATGTATTTATCTGTTCCTATGTCTCCCCGCTTCACTCCACTAGGATACGAGTCCTTCCAAGGCAGGGACCTCATAGGATTCCTTTGTATGTTTCCAATACCTAGCACAGAACGGAACCTGCTAAAGCTCAATTTGATACTATAATCAAATATGGGGGAAAGTGATGCTGCTACACATTTGGACACAGCACTACAACTCCTGGAGCTAGATTCAGTTAGCACCAAAATCTAAGCATCTGTTCAATACGGTGGGGAACAGGAGAAAGACTTAATAAAAATGAGACCCACGCTAGCAAAAAAAGAGGACAGAGGAAATGCCCAACGTAAGGAAGCGAAGTGCCTCCCTGTCTCCTCTGCACCATACCCCCACCAAAAATCCTCCTCCCCACACACGAAGGGTCAAGTGTAGGATGATGTAGAGAGAAAGCTGGGAAGTACCAGGGATACCTTGAGATACAGGGCTGGGAAAATACTTTGCCTTCTCCAGCAAGGTCATTGCCATGGTAACCAACAATGTAAAAGGGAAAAGCATGCTACAAAGGAAACTCCTTTCTCTGCACTCCACTCCACTCTTAGCCTTCATCAGTAAGTACAAAAACACAATCAGGTAACAAAACAGAATTGGTTTAAACAAGCCGCCTTCTTTTTTTATAGGCTTGTTAAGTAATAGGTAATTCCAAGTTTATATAGAGAGTAACTAAATAGCAGATCAGAGGTTTCTCTTTGCTCAAATCAGCTGAAGTGTTTATCACTTTGGGATAAACTGGAAGAAATTAAGAAAATGACAGAGGGGCCAGGCACGGTGGCTCACACCTGTAATCCCAGCACTTTGGGAGGCCGGATCACTCGAGGTCAGGAGTTCAAGACCAGCCTGGCCAACATGGTGAAACCCCATCTCTATTAAAAATACAAAAATAAGCCGGGTGTGATGGCAGGTGCATGTAATCCCAGATACTCAGGAGGCTGAGGCAGGAGAATCACTAGAACCCAGGAGACAGAGGTTGCAGTGAGCCGAGATCATCACAACATTCCATTCCAGCCTGGGTGACAAAGCAAGACTCTGTCTCAAAAAAAAAAAAGAAAAGAAAATGACAGACAGAAGACAGTGAAAGAAAGTGTGAGAAAAGCAGAGGTGCCTGCTGCCCATTTGATTTCAGGGTTTTTTGTTTTTTATTTTCCTCATTTATCCATTTTTATTTTATGCCATAGTGACTACCAATGCCTGGCTAATGTGGAACCACCAGTGCCACCTACCTTTTAGCTGAGTACTACAGGAGAAAATTCTGCAAGCACAGTCACATCTTACATGGCCACTAGCAAACATCAAACAATTCAGCACAATGTAAGTACCAACAGTTTTATGAGAAATGCTAAAATGTTACCAGTAACCAAAATAATGGTCCAGCCTTTGAATGATGATTCAATTTTAAATCCTTAAAAACAATGCAGCAGTCTGCAAGTAACAACATTCTCAGAAGAAAATCTCTTAAAGGATTCAGCTAATACATATGGATGAACCAAAGTCCACTGAGACTTAAAATAATTTTCAAAAGACTCTAGATGAATATGATATAGTTTAAATAGTTCTAACAATTTGCATTAATAAGTTCCAACAGCCCTTTGACCTCAAGCAGAGCTGCTTTCCTCCCCACACCACTCCCCACAAAAGAAATATTCAAGTCATATTCCTTTCTTAAGGATTTATCAATGCAACATCATCCCCCTTGTTGCTTAAAAAAAAAAAAAAAAAAAAAAAAGTTGGTTCTTTTTACAGTTGCTTGCCACACAAAGCCTGTAGTCTACAAGATTAAGGTTCTTTTATTTTTAAGAAATAGCAAGATGTTCTGGTATGCAAATATAAGCAACTCTCTGTCTACGCCAATGCAGAACACAGACTCAGACGACCCAAAGGGCTGCAACACCCCAGCTCTCTTTTATGAGGAAAGTCCCATGAGCTCTCAAGGTCGACAAAAAAAACCACAGCCTATTCTCAGCAACCTGAGAGTTGATGCATATGAGTGAATCTGTGCTGGTCACTGTTTTCTCGCAATATTTTTTCACTCACTGCTCGTAAGGTACTCGGCAACACCAGGGCTTTGGCACAAGTAAATTGCTTTCAGATTACAGGTAGATGATCTACATTTAGGCAACAGAAATAATAAAAACTGGCCAAAATTATGCATTCACTCTCCAACCTACTCAAATCTGATTTCTGTTTATTAAATACTCTTCAATGGGTCCAAATCACCCCCAAATTGCAAGCTCCCAATCATCTCTAGTTGTTCAAGAAATGGTACTGAGCATATAATACAGACCAGACACTGGATATAAAGATAAGCAGCACAAGTTCTCCTAAAAAACTTACAAACTTTTGAGGAATTGGGGTGTATAAATCAATAAGAGTACACAGTGTAATAAGTGCTACAAAAGATATATTTTCGATATACTGTAGTTATTGCATAAAAGTTTCAACAACTCCACTTGGTCAGGAAAAAAAAAGGCAAATAATGAATGGCAATCTTAACCTCGTGAGTACTTAAGAGACTCCCTGGTACTGTGCTATGTGTCTGAAGTGCATTCTCTCTTCCCATCCTCATAGCGATCCTATGAAGTGGGTATTTTAAGGCCCATTGTACAGACAAGAAAGCTAAGTCATACAGATCTTGATAAAGTAGAGCTAGGAATCCCACCCACAGGTACCTAACTTTAGGAAGATGTAGCATCTGAATCAAGCATAAAAAGAGGGACAGAAAGGGGACAGAGAAACGGCAAGAACTCTTGAATGACAAAAGCAAAGGTAGAAAATATTCCTGGTTTCTTTTATTATTGTGCAGGATTCAAGGTTTACTTATGAAATTAGTCATGGATTCATCTGTTGAAATTGCAACCTATCTAAAAAGTAATTCAACAATGTTGCTTTTTTCCATTCTTACAGGTCATAGATTTTGCCCCCCCACCCCCAAACTCAACCTATGTATCTTTTCATTGTAAGAAAGAGCTACCTGGGAAGGTGATGTGCCACTAACAGTCTACAGCTGTTTGGTATAGAGAACAATTGCACAACAGTGAGAACAGATTAAGTTACAGAGAAAATATCTAAAAGAAGACCTTAAACAATTAATGCTTTGTACATCAACAATGTTTTTAAGAGAGTAGTCTCTGAATGAAAGATTTGAAGATTTTGAACATATGGTATACGACTCTCCTCTAAAGAATATATATATATATATTTTTTTTTTCTGGTGGAGTAGAAGGAACCCGATATTTAAACTCATATAATGAATAAAATCCAGAAAGACTTTCAAGATTATTAAGAAATAAAAATGGGCTGAGTGTGGTGGCTCACGTCTGTAATCCCAGCACTTTGGGAGGCCGAGGCAGGCAAATCACGAGGTCAGGAGATCGAGGTCATCTTGGCCAACATGGTGAAACCCTGTCTCTACTAAAATACAAAAAAATTAGCCAGGCGTGGAGGCGTGCACCTGTAGTCCCAGCTACTTGGGAGGGTGAGGCAGGGTAATCACTTGAACCTGGGAGATGGAGGCTGCAGTGAGCCAAGATCACGTCACTGCACTCTATCCTGGTGACAGAGCAAGACTGCGTCTCAAAAAAAAAAAAAGAAAAAAAGAAAAGAAATAAAAACGTTTTGTTAAATATAATGTATGTCAATCTAATTTGTTTTGACCAAATCACATACAAATCTCCTAAAGAAATATATTATATCATTAAGTACACTAACAATTCTACCCTAAAGAACAATTTTCTTAAAAAGCTGGAATTGTGTGACATTACAAATCACAACCACTAGGTAGAATCTCAATTACTGTCGTTCAAGAATCAGGAAGACCATCAGTAATAATCTAGTACTAACTGGAAAGACAAGAACTTATCTTGCTGGGCTATGAAGGATCAAATTCTGTTTTCTTGCAGATGTCAAAAAATTTTACTGAAGATGACACAAAATTCAAGGGGAAGATAAGCAAATGTTGGAAAACAAAATTAGAATCTAAGAGCATTTCACCCAAATGGAGGTTGAAGAAATAATCTCAACGAAAGATCAAAAAATTGTGGAAGAAAAACAAGTCCTACAAATCAAATATAAATGACAAATGAGATGTTTACATAGAAATAGTATATAGGTATGACAAAGTAATCATCCCTTTTACAATAAATAATTCAAGATGGCTAATAGCAATCTTCATTCCTGGCTCCATGAGAAAAGTGACTGATATGGAAAAAATTCAAGGCAAATTCAGAAAATGTAAAGGAATGAAGTGAGCAGCTACAAACAATGGGTACAATTATGGAAACTGTTTAATCTAGAGAAGGCTTGCCTACTCAAACAGTAAGTTACTGTGTAAAGGCTTAACCAGTTTCATAAAAATTTAAGATCAAAATAAAGGAATCACTTCTAACAGCAGAGTCCTTCCCTGAAAAAGAAGTTTCAGAACAGAAGTCAGTTATTACATTTTAAAATATAAGGAACAAATTGGATCCTCAGGTGGATTAGGATAGACAGGAACTTCTCAGAGGCCTCTCGTGGTCTGTGTTAGACTAACGCCACATACAACTAGGTACCTGCAAAGGGACCTTACCCAGGCAAGGCCGTTCACATAATTAACAATCTCCTCTAGGTGCCAAAGAACAGAGGGCTCCATGATCACTAACCAGGATATTTCAAAGTCACAGAAATTAAGAAGGAAGCAAGGAAATCAGAAAGCAGACACAGTACAGTGCAGGGCAATAACCCAAGAATAAATAGGAAACACTAATGTTAATTTAAAGCCATTTGCTTCTGTTTACATGATTAATCTTTTTAAGGTAAAAAAAAATTCCTTAATCTTCTTTACCAATAATCTTTTAAACAGCACCAACAACTTGTTCTGCAACTAACAGGAAGCTCATGCAAAATTCAACAGCTCTGCCTAGTTTAGACTGGAGCTAGCAGGATATTCAAATCCTGAGAGGTCACCTCAACCTACACAGTGCACAATGTTAGCTCAGCTTCTGAATGTAGCACTGCCAGTTTCTTTTGATTTCTGTTTTACTTCATTTCCTTTGATGACAGAGCCCACACCTAACAAGCACAGTGAATCTTATTAACGCCACAATTCTTCCTCTGCCTCTCCTTCATTCTTCACCCACTTCTTTCCCCCTTGGACCCACACTGTCTTCCACTAACAGGTTGGAAATCTGGGGACCAGAGCAGGGTTTCCCAGACAAGAAATACCTTTCCAGTGTCTTCACAAAGCCTTTCCCCATCTACAAACAAAGCTTTGTCATGGCTCAAACCAGGTCATTAACTCATCCACTAAGTTTCACTTACCTTTTGGAAGGATCTTTCTGAAGACACAGTGAAAGTAATTTTCTAAAGGACTTGCCGTACTTTTTCATCATTTCTTTATCCTCTACCCCTGTTTCCAAAGTGGGTGGATCATTTTGCAAAGTCAACATTAACACCTGCAGCAGAAACACACATGAAGACAGAATCTCAGTACAGCAATTGCTACAATCTAGTTTTGAATTTTTCATAGAAGTGTAAAAAAACCATCCTTGATTAGATACAAAGTGCTTTCCCATGATTTTAACTTTGCAGAAACTGTGTATTGAAAGGATCCATTGCCACTGCAAATCTGTTCATGCCCCCTTTAATCTTTTTGTTATTCCATTGACAGAATTTACAAAATTTGCTCTATGTGTTGAGAATGATCCCAGACAGAGCTTCCTGGGAACTGGCTCATGTACCGCCTCGAGGAGCACGTAGCTCCAGCACAGGCTGGTTGGGAAAGCGGGTGGAGGAGAGAGAGAGCCAGAGGCATGACTGTTCATGTGTACAGGTCATTCATAAGTAAGGAACTGTCTGTACTCAAGGCTTCTGTAACACATTACTGGCCCTAAAAATAAAACCACAACATCCCAGGAGGTAACATGATTTCCTTTTAAAAAAAAAAGAAAGAAAACATACAGAAAATTGCTAAAACACTTGGCAAAACTGAGAGCAAGACACTGAAGGATAGCCAGAATATAACTGAGTGGCTAAAAACTGTCATCAAATCCAAAGTCCTTGCTGCTTTTGGAGGGGTACAAAACAAAATAAAAATACAACTTTAAATCAAAAAGGTAAAAATTCCACTCTTTCATACTAACTTCAAAATTATTTGCTTTAAAAAAAAAAAGTGGAGGGTGTAGAAAACTACTAGCCTGTACGATGAATAAACCTCATTAATGCATAATTCAGCCTTAATTTATGCAAATGCTATACATGTCAAGCCTCTTTTCAAACACTTTCACATGTGTGAATAGATAAAGCGTGAAAGTGACGGCTTATTGTTTGTGGAGGATAATAGCCCACAGGAGAAAGTGGGGGACTGGGAACTCTGAAGAAATTCCTAGAGGACTTCAGGCTGGGAGTACGACTTTGAATTCAGGTGGGAAACACTAAGAAGAGGCGAAAGAAAGAAAATGAAGAAAGAAAAACTGAATGAAAGAAAAAATCCTTCAGCATTACTTCAGTGCTTTTTCTTCAAAAGGTCACTTCAATTGTTTATACTTCAATTTTAAATTTTCTGCTAACAAAATCCGCTATATGTATCCACACACACACATACACTAAAATCCTAACTATGTTAAATACATATAGAGAGAGAAAACAACAAAATGAATTACACTAAAACCTTAGTAGAGATTGTCTGTGGTTGATGAGATTACAGATGATTGTTTTTCTTCTTTAGTATGACTTGCACATCCAAACTTTCTACAAAATATTACTTCTTTTAATCAGTAAAACTCACTTTTTATTCTTGGGTTTTTAAAATAAATCCTCCCAAATTTTTCCAATAACCATGAAACAATCATAGACCACACTCTATGTAAAACAGCATTATAATTTCACTAAACTATTTCAGCCTCAAAACAAAATCCAGTTGGGTAAATTAGCCCTGATACCACTATCTCAGAACTAAGAACAACAACGAGGTATAAGCCAGTTAAAAGAACAGCAGACACGTGAAAACAGCATCCTAAAAACACTGTGGCTCTCTTATATCAGATGAGTTGCCAACATTACACTAGGAGAGCAGGGGTAAAAATGTTACAGTCCACTTAAAAAAAAAAAAAAAAAAAAAAAAAGCCCTGAAAATCTGGGAAATCCATTTGCAGAGATGACATCACCATAGTCTATTTTGAAATTTTCTTTGGGAACCTAGCATTTTTCTGCTATCAAAAGAGTAATGACCAGCATTTGTCATAGCTATCAACCTCCATCGACCAATCTGACCACATTATTTTCTCAACTCTGTGCTCAGACTATAAAGCAAGCTTCAAAGCTGGGAATTATGCTACTTTTGTCCTATTCTGTCCACTAAGAAAATCAGACAATGTTCAACTTGGCTGTGTTCCTCCATTCATTCTCCTTGGGTCTACGAGAAGGATGAAGATGTTGAAGACAATTAGAAAACTGATTCCATCCAATCACATTTCAACCCCGACATAGTATTTCCAATTGTAATTACTTTCATGGGAGGATATTTGTGATAAGGCGCTGCTCCTGTTGCTAACTCAATGGCAGTTATTCCAAAACTCCACATGTCAGCCTTGAAGTCATAGCCTCTCACCTAAGAAAGTAAGCAGGAAAAAAAAACACAATCATACGGCAGGCATGTTACATATCATCAAGTCCATATCATGTCAGAAATCCACAGCTGTTGATGTATAACTTTTACATTCGTTTGCTAATTAACTAGGAATCAAGAATTAAATCTTAGTTACATGATGTATTCTACTAAAATGCTAGATACAAATGAAATGTTAGTGAATTAATGATCTGTACGATTATACTATGTTCATCAAAAAGTCACTTTATTGTTTTTTTCACCTGTTCCATGACTTCAGGGGCCATCCAACATGGGGTGCCAACGAATGTTTTTCTTACTTTATTTCGGGTAACATCACCCCCTGTTGCTAGGAACGCACTTACTCCAAAATCTGAAAGGGAAAAAAAAATCTCCCTTATTTTATGTAAGACATTATTGCTTATAAATTGTGATTTTTTTTTTAGCATGTCTCTTCTTTGTGAGCTTCAGAGTGGTGATGAACTGTTCCGAACATGTCTACGGCACTCTCTCAGGAAGAAAAAGGCAGATCTGCCCTCTGTCATCCCCTACACCTTGGGGAACACCATCACTGGTAATGGGCCACAAGCCCGCCAGTCCAAAAGCTTAGTATACCAAATTAAATATAAAGGGTCTTAGCTTTTAGCTAAGGTATATAAAGATAAGATACATAAAACCAACATGTCCGAGTTTGTCTGTATGCAAAAAACCTTAGTCAGCAAAGACTGATTTTCTGGACAATTTTCATAAGTACAGATGAAATGGATTGTAGAAGTAAACAGTATTTTTCTTAACACTCAGTATATAGTAGAAGTTAATTTTATGAGAAGATGAATTAATTAGGCATACCGTACAGGTTGAGCATCCCGAAATGCTTGCGACCAGAAATGTTTTAGATTTTGGATTTTTTCTCATTTTAAAATACTTACATTATATACTAAGTTAGTTAAGTGCCCTCATTCAAAAACCAGAAATCTGAAATGTCCCAATGAACATTTCCTTTGAATGTCACCTCACATTCAAAGTTTCAGAATTTGGAACATTTGGGATTTCAAATTTTCTGATTTAGGGATACTCAACTTATATATACATACAGGCACATGTGCAAAAATTCTATTTGTATATACAGTACAGAAGGGAATGCCTGGCAATTATTAATGCACTATTCTTGCTTTCATTTTTACACAATGGTTAAAAGTAGTTAATAAGTTAAAGTACCAATTACTCAAGACTAGTGTACCTATCAATGACAGCCAAGTCAAGGACTGCTTGATAGTGAGCTGGTGGGTAGTAATAAAAACAGGTAGTCAACACCTCAAAACACCACAGCGTACTGTGCAGTCTGAGCCTCTGCAAATCGTTCTCATATACTTTTCCTTCGCTGGTCCCCTTTGTTGGCTGTCAGGGTGACAGCAATTACCAAAAAACAACCTCAAGTACAAACCAAGGTCAAAATGTATTAGCATTTGCTATAGGCCTATAAGGTTAGCTTATGCAATTGTGACTTAATAACATTGTAACCAGTTTCCTGAGTAGAAATATATTGAATGTTGGATTTTATTTATATTTAAATTTACTAGTACTCCCAACAGGATTTCAATTACAAATAAAAGGAATGAAAATTGACAAATGGAGTCTTTGTTCCAACTGCTACTCTCATGTTCATATTGAATAAAAGTATATATTTTTAAACTGCTATATAATTTAATATGCATATATGTTTCCAATTCTAAAGCCCTTTTAATTCTTATACTGCAGCCAGAACACTGAAGTCTTGTGAAAAGAAATCTCTGTAACCACTCAGTCTCCTGTGGGTGGGAGAAGATACAATTCATTCTCTTAGAGAAGAGTTAGGTGAATTGAAATACCTGTAAGCATCTACTATATCTGCTGGAAAAAAAATATATTTGATAAAGCTTTTAAAGCTACTAATTTCAACTTAATTTGTATTTCTAAAAAGAAGTTCAATGATGAATCCAACATTTCATTTTTGTTAAAATGATTTTATAATACGATAATATGAAATAAATACATATCATCTATAAATCAAGGATACAGGTAAAAGCTGCTTTAAGGAAAAATTGATTCTTTTAAATGCAATTGAAGCAACTCTGCGCTCTAACATCTCTTCCTAAAAGATATAATCCAGGTAAAAATCCATAGTTAACATTAGATATATTTTCACTTCCTTAAAAATACTACCTGCTTATATTACACATTTTAAAAAGTTAGACAAACAGCTGAAAAAGATGTATAGTAGTAATTTATTACTGACAATACCCTTTCAATATATCTGTCATGATTCATATATTTATTCAGAGCCTCCACTTTGAACACTCACTTTAAAGTCTCAAACAGATGGTTAAATGTCTTTAAAACTCAGAACAAAAATTTCAGGAGCAGAAAACACCAATCCTAACATCTACTCCCTCTATGACTACAGAATAAATACACAGTTTGCTCCTATGTACGGCTGATGTGTATATAGATTATATGCACTCAGCAACAGAACATTTTGAGTAAAGCACATAGTGTGCTTATGTTATATAAACAAAAAATTGGTATATTCTGTTGAGATAGCTTGCATATGACAGTTAGAACGAGGTGGCAGAACAGTAACAGTGAAAAGCCGTCCTTGTTTCCTAAGGGGTACATCTATACAGCCAAAGGGAATGGAGCCAGATTCACTTGGGTCCAAAACCACGGACATTTCTCAGGCAACACGGAATCAAAGGCTACACATAAGGTTAGCCAGTCCATCTCCTGACTGCAGGAATAACTGGAGGATATGGGTAAAAGCTACTTTAAGAAAAACAACAACAGCAGCAGCAACAAAGAATGCTGTCATCCTAATAACAAAAAGGCTCTAACACCTTCTGAATCCATCCACTTCTTTGCTTCTCCACAGCCACTGCCTTCATTTAATCCACCATTACTTCTTGCCAAGACTTCTGCGGCAGCCTCCTAAGTTCCCATCTCCCTTCCTTCCCCAGATCCAGGCTCCAGCGACCAGGCCTTTCTATGTCACAGGACTGAGCCCTCCTTAAAAGTCTTTCAGGCGGGGCGCGGTGGCTCACGCCTGTAACCCCAGCACTTTGGGAGGCCAAGGCAGGTGGATCACGAAGTCAGGAGTTCGAGACCATCCTGGCCAACATGATGAAACCCCATTTCTACTAAAAAAAAACACAAAAAATTAGCTGGGCATGGTAGCACATGCTTGTGGTCTCAGCAACTCTAGAGGCTGAGGCAGGGGAACCGCCTGAACCCAGAAGGCGGAGGTTGCAGTGAGCTGAGATAATGCCACTGCACTCTAGCCTGGTGACAGAGCAAGATTCTGTCTCAAAAAAAAAAACAAAAAACAAAAAAAAACACGTCTTTCAAGGCTCCCTGTCCCCTCAGGAGAAAGTCAAAATCCTTCAGCATAACAGGTAAATCTGACTGCCCTTTCCTCTTCTGCCCTACCTATATCACTACTCTCAGATTCAGGTGGTAAGCTCCCTACTGAACGACTTACTTTTTATTCCCTGATCCCATCACCTCCTTGGCCTCCCCAGCACTGCCCTTGCACATGATGCTTTGTCATCTAGGTACATCAACCCTCCATGCTAAACAGGTGCACCAGCAGAGGGCTTTCTGCATGGCCTTGTTAATGACACAGCATCTCCAGCACCCTGGCTCTTGGTGAGTAGTTGGATGTGCATTCATCACCTTTGCGTAATTTGGCACGGACGATTTCAGTAACATCAGTCATGGTCTTATTTTGAGGTGTGAATCCTACTAAGCCTTGAGGAGGATCTGCAGGTATGGTTATCTGATTTGGAGAGTGGCAGATGTACTAGGAAACATCACAGGACTAATGGGCAAGATCTGAGTGTTAACAGTGATTAGGCCTAAGGCTAGACTATTACCCAACTGTATGACTCCAGAAAGGGACTTAAACTTTCTGGTTGGGCCTTACTGGCCTTCTTATTTAGACCTATTTTTATTTATTTATTTATTTATTTCCAGATAGAGTATCGCTCTGTTGCCCAAGGTGGAGCACAGTGGCATGATCATCGCTCACCGCAGCCTCAACCTCCCATGCTCAAGCGATCCTCCTACCTCAGCCTCCCAAGTAGCTATGACTACAGGCATGTGCTACCATGCCCATCTAATCTATTTTTATTTTTTGTAGATATGCGGTCTCTCTATCTTGCCCAAGCTGGTCTCAAACTCTTGAGCTCAAGCAAAGCTCCTGTCTCAGCCTCCCAATGTGCTGGAATTATAAGCATGAGCCACCATGCCCAGCCTCTATTTTTATATTACTTTCATATTTATAAGACTCGTATTTTTTTACCATGTATGAATATTCTTTACAACAACTGTTAGGTAGATCAATAAACTACTCAATGCCTTTTCATAAGCAAGGCAAGAAGGCTGCAGGGATAAGCATAAACATTTTACAGTGGCAGAGATAAAATAGGAGAAGACATGTTTCTTGACTTTAACAATATTTGTCGGGCATGATGGTTCATTAGGTGGGTGCAGTAGCATGCAACTGTTAATTTCACCTACTCAGGAGGATGAAATGGGAGAATCACTTGAGCCCAGGAGGTCGAGGATGCAGTGAGCCATGACTGTACCACTGCACTCCAGTCTGGGCAACAGAGTGAAACCCTGTCTCAAAAAAAAAAAAAAAGAATAGTCACACCTAAGTAGGATAACATATGAAAACAATAAACAATAGAACAACATGCAAAATCAAATGCAATGTATAAAATCAAATACCACATTGTCTGTATAAAAGCAGAGGAGCTATAACCATAATGGTCATGGAAGACCATCTCCAAAGTGGGCCTTGGAGCCAGCCTTGAAGATGAGGTGAAGACTTGGATGAGGAAGCCCAACAGGAAACAAATTCTAGACAAAGAAATGGCATGAGCAAAGCACAAGTGTGGAGCCAAGAAGAAAAACTGACAGCTGCAAGGGTCAAAAACTCAAAACACCTACAGCAGCCAGGCAGGAATACAATAGAGAAAAGAGGGTCCTGAAGACCAACAGCTACAGTCTCAGTGACAAGGGCCCTTGATACTCAGTCTCTGTGACAGGAGACTTTAGGAGTGCTGGGCCCTGTGTGAAGCCCTGGAGCCCACTGTCAGCACCCTCTAACCAAGGTCCAAGGCAGGCCCCTGTTGCTTGGCACCAGCAGAAAGTTGCCATAAAGAAATGCAGACCCAGGATTGCTGGATATCCCAGTTTTCCCAGGGAAGCCAAACATTGGAATCTTTATGAAAAAAACTCCCTTTCTTACTGTAGTTGGCAACAAATTCATTTCTAAAAAACTGGAAAAGAGATTTCTCCTGCCTAATTTAGTCCGCAAAACTAAAGTCTGCC